AGTGAGAAGAGTGCAGCTGCGGGTTTTTAGTGGAGTAACCTACAGTTAACGTTTGTTGATTAAGGTGGTTAATGAGTTTAACTAATTAATCTCGTAACGTTGGAGCTTCTGGCCTATAAGTCCATTAGATCTCTTTGCTAGCTCATAAAGGGTAATTAAGAACATTAAGTCTCGAAAAGAATTTGAATTGTTCAAATTTAATTAAAGGGATTTGAGTCAATTGTGTATAACACAATTAATGCATTATAAAACTATGTAATATGAGAGAATAATGTGAATTGGATTCATATTAAAACTATACTTTAAAATTTAATGTGAATTAGATTCGTATTAAATACTATAGGTTATCAGGGGTGTATATTTGAATATGATTCAAATATTAGTTGATTTAATTAAATTATGTTCATTTAATTAATTAATTAAATGACATTTGATTAATTATTAATTAAATTAAAATAGTGTTAATTTAATTAATTATTTAATTAATTTATTAAATTAAATTAATTAAGGACTCCCAAGTAGTTTTGCTCGGAAGTGGTGACGTGGAGAGGGGGAGGTTACTCCCTCATTCATTAAAAATAAAGATTAATGCTGTTTTTTGGGTTGGTTTTTCCCATGGCAAAAACTGTACGCAAAACAAATCACTCTCATTATCAAACTCAAATTCCCTGAATTTTTGTTCCTTTTTCCAAGTAGAAGGATCCCACAATCCGGGTTCTTAAACTCAGAGAATAGCAAGGTTGCTTGTGGTAGTGTCCCAACCTTGAGTTCGTGAAAAATTGTTTGTGTTGTCACAAAATTTATGCTCGAAGAAGAAAATCCATTCATGGTCTACAAAAGTAAGTTTTTTCCTCCCAAGAGGCTTAACCTCTCATTTATAATAGAAATGGTTCTGTTTTAAATTCGGTAACGTATGACTTCTAAACCGAGTTGAATCACAAGCGATCAATCATTCCCGCTGGGGATTCAATCCTTTCAGAAAAAACATGATAGAAATTGAATAGTTTACCCAAAGAATTTTGATAAAGTTTATTATATGTATTGTAGTTATTTGACACTAAATCTAATACAATTTAATTAGGCAATGAATAAGTTATTAATTTTAGTTTTTGATATAGAAATCCTGAATTCTAGTGATGAACAGGAATGTTTGAGTTGATTTATAGATTCGATTGTTAAAAAAAAATAATTAACAAAGATATTCATAAATTATAACCAAAAAGAACATTGGAATAAAGTATTAATAAAAATTATTTTTGTTGTTAAAAATCTTGCTTTCTTTTAGATCAAAATTTTTGTCTAAAACCTCATATCACCTCGAGTCGTCCCACCCGTCCTAGACTGATTAGGATAAAATCATCCAAGTTAGCTACACTT